GCCATTTCACACTGGTCATTGTCTGTGAGCCATAAAAATCGGAGAAAAATACACAAAAGTTTTTTAAAAAAAGACATTTGAAAGACATGGTCCAATGAAAACATGAGGCAAAAAATAAAACAAAAAACCAAAAGGAAAGTTTCAAGAAACACAGCTGAAATGTATTAAAAAGAACAGACAGGTGTCTGAGGACCACTGAAGCCACTGACAAAACACCTGCTACAATTTCTTACTTAAAGGTCTACTGTAGCAAAATATTAGGACACAATGGCAAACAAGTGGTGATCATGGAAATACCTGCTGGAAAACCAGAACTTGAGACCAGTGATCAGACTATTGTAGCCATACCAYTTCCTATTRAAACATTAMAAGTTAACAGGTACTGCTGTATACTGATGATCTACTGATGATTGTAGAAAAAACTCAAGTCAAAGGCAATGGCTTTTTAATTTAATTCATATTTTGCTGGCAGTCATTTAACTGACATGTAACATGTTTTGAAAAATCAACAGACTCCAGCTGAGCAATCCTGACTCCATACCATACTGAAGGTATCAAATATGGGCACTCTTAATGAAGTAACAAAATAAGTGCTATTGTTTACACTATGGGGCATAAATCGATCACCCTACCGAGGGGGGCAGAAAAACTCCCTAACATGAAACTGAATTACACAGCCACACACACTACATTTGTAGTCTTTATTATCTGGCATATTCTTACTGAGTAGTAAGACTTACTAAACTGGGGGCTAGCATGCTCCCACTTACCTAACCCTACTGTGGAGCAGGTTGGCATAGTTCAAAAATGTGCACATTATATTGCAAGCTAAGCAGAATCATAGAATCATAAAATGGTTTGGGTTGGAAGGGACCTAAAAGAGCATCTCGTTACAACCCATCCCTGGCCACAGGCAGGGATGCCAGTATTTCCTCTGGTTATGTGGTTTTAGTGGTACTGACTAATACATTATTTAATACAACAATTATCAGGTCATTGAACGCTAGACTTTTTCCATTCAAGTGACTGTAATTAAGAACTGATTGAGTGTAGACAACAACTCTGCAAAGAACCCACTTTCACAAACACAMTTCCCTGACTTCAGTGAGACACTGGTCAGGATGATGTGCCCGTCTCTTCACAGGCATAGAACTGCTTTAAAGTTGTACAAAATTTACCACATTTTTCCCCTCTTGCTTCTTCAATGTCATGTTCTTTCCTGCAATGCGTGAGGCTTTTATTGATGCAATATTTAAAGCTACTTTAAAAARCTCACAGAAAGACATTCAAATGCTTTCAGGCTTTTCTCCTGTTTTCAGCCTGCTGGGARTTTGTGGGTGAGAACATGAAGCAAAAATCTCCGAGATAGGCTGGGAACAACTGCAGTTTTAGGATGCAGATGGCCACACAAAGACACAGAGTTCTAGGAGAGGTTTCAAGACAGGACATGGTGGAAGGAAGCACACGGGGCTGCAAAAAGTTATGAAGTCTGTTTGGACAGATAAATTAAAGGACTGATGGACATCTGAGGACTGATGAAACACCACTCGCCCTTACTCCACTGCAGGTAACAGAAAGACTGAGCAGATTTCAAAGAACTTGAAGGTTTTAACATGCAAAGTAGTTACGTTTAAGCTATGTATGTGCTCACCAGGCAGCCTGAAGYAGCTCACTTCTAAATGAACTGTGCCAAAAGGAGCTGATACACGGTAGTTTGTTCATGTATCAGAGCTTTTACTTGCTAGTGAGCAGGCAAGAATTGACTTAGATTGCTAGAATGAAACACAAAGATAACAGCCATCCATCTTTACTTTTAAGCTATGAAAGTTTCCTGAATTCAGGGCAAACCAAAGACTTTATTGGGTATTTTTGGGGAATACAACATATTCTATGCCTCGTGCTAACAGAAATCATGCATTCATGCTGAAGTGTTGGGATGYTCCCTTGTCTTCAGATAAAACACACTGTACACTTGCAACACAAATATTTGTAAAATTATGACAGGAATCACAGGCACTTCAGATCTCTATTACCAACCAATACAATCCATCACATATTTTATTAAGCCATTATGACCTGTTTAATGAAATATTTTGTTTCACTTGTATATTCTTCCATCGTCAGTTATTTAAGAAATGTGCTGTGAAGGCTAAAATCACTAAAATATTACTGCAACTGTTACATGAAAGGATTTTGCCTTTTTAATTTTCAATCAGAGAAGCACATAAAAGGTGATTTTACCAAAAATAATTTAGTACTTTCCAGTCCTCCTAAAATCCATTTGCTTACCACGTAAATGTTTAAAATTACTTTGAGACCGCATTTTTAAATAAAAATCACAAAAAAGACTCTTAAAACATTTTAAAATAGTACTGCATTAAGAGATCCATTCTTGTAGTCACATTAAAAWAAATTATGTTGCACTTCCAGAATTAACCAGTGAACCTGAATTCCAGGTGTAATTGCTAATTGTTCAGTTCACAATGATTAATCTGCATCAAACCAAGATTCTTTACAGAGCCTATAAGGCCTATTAGTAAAAGGAATCTATTCTCTCTCTCTCCAAAATCTGTAGTACGGTAGAAGCCTCAGGTATTGAAATCCTCTGCAGTGCACAAAAATTTAACCTGAAAAACAGATCACCAGTGGTATTCTGGATGCTTCAAACTGCCCTGTGGGGAAACAACTGCGGATGCAACCACATGTGTGATTATTTGGAACKGGTGCGGGTTTTTAAGAAAGGGTACTGAGCAGGATATCAACTCTAAAGCCATGAAACAGAAATGGGCAGATACGTGTGGGCTGCTCATCAGGCTAAGGTGTGAGRGACTCCTGTGAAGGCAGAGATGAGAAGAGGCAGCTGTGTGCTCCAGGCAATGGCTGCTCTGTCACCTTGCTGAGTTGTCACCCATGGACATGGGCAGCCAGCAGCTCCCCATCCACAACCACGCGTGCTGTGGTTGTGCACTCAGTCTGATCTGAACAGGAGGGGCAGTATAAGGATCCAGGGAATGGGAAGGCATCTCGTTCACTACTTATTTGGTTAAGGACTTTTCAGTATAAAAGAAACAACAAATAACAAGGAAAGTGGAAGATTAAACAYGAACAAGTATTATTGTACTATCAGAAACAAAACAGCTTTCACTGGAGTATTCTCTAGGTAGAATAGGAAGAAGTAGACATGTGCAAGACCCATCAGTAAACAGAAATATTCTTAAAAATGGGATATGAGAGAGATATGGAAGGAACCAGAATAACACACTGTGCTCGGGCATGGTACACCTCAGCAGCATATATTCAAAAGCACTTGAGCCCAAAAAAACCTTGGGAAAGTCCACTAATGAGTGCTTGTGCTCTGTACATAGACAACACAACAGGCCTTTGAATTTCCATGGAATAAAACTTGTTCTCCTTTGGACTGGTGCCAACATCTTTACAAGAGGTACCTGAGAAAACCTCAGGGTAACCTCTTCAACTCTAATAGTTCACAGACCTACGTGTACCCCGAAGAGTTGCACAGACACAGGCACATGTCCTTTTCAATAGTTAAAACAGCACAGTTTTGCCTCCGGGTGCAATCACACCAGTGCTAATGCTCTAAAAGGGTCCGGCTTTTCATGTACAAGGTTTGTGTCAACATACTGCATCACAGAAATAAAGCAAGAGTACTGCTTTAACTACTACCATATATTGCTATTACTTTTATGAACAGAATAAGGGGACAGACATACTAGAGAAACAACACAAATGTCATTTAAAAGAGCACTCACTATCAAAGGCCCAAACACGGAATAAGTATGCTCTGACTCTAGGTTTGAAACTGCCTGCTTGCACATGACTTCCTTTCATTGTGTCCTTCACACTATTAGTGACCTGACAGCAGAAGTTAAAAGCCAACCTGAACTGAGAGCTACTTTCTTCTCTTAAATGTGAAAACATGAAACTATTTTTTCCATTCAGATCAAACCAAATAAACCCATAAATTCTCTAGATAACACTTCAGAATCATGATTTGATTGGAGAACACTTTTCTAAAAGCAGACATATTCACCTAAGAGAAAACTTGTATCTGGTAAGGCCAGCAGAGCAGCATCATTACCATAATATTTTTTCCCTTTTTTCTGTTTGTGCCTTTCCACAGGACCACAAGATATCACGCCAGCTCTTGCACCTGCCTCTCCACACCCAGGTTTCTCTTAAAAGGACCATTTCAGCCTCAGGATTTCTTGCAGTTTTCCTACGGTGAGCTCTAGCTAAGCTCCTTCTAGAAGAGCACAGACATACAGACTTTGGACAAGGACACAAACCCTGCTGTTCCCGCTGCTTACGGTACCTGGTTTATCCYTGCAGTAATTCCCCACAGTCCATTTGTGCTCCTCGCTGTGTACCGCCTGCTTTGCATTATCTCTGTTTATGTGTGTATTGACAAACAGATTTACGTGAGAAGCCAAAATGCCCCCCGGAGCATCAGCTCCACGTCCCACCACTCTGGCACGCTGCCGGCACCAACTCCCTCTCCACCTCGACTCGCTGTTGGAAACTCTCCCTGTCCCCACAGTTCCCAGAGCCAAACGCGGAAGGACTGGCATCAGTAGGACCAGAACGATTCAGGTTCCTATAAGCAGCGGTAGGCGGGTGCGGGGCTGTCCGCGGAACCCCGCTCTGACGGGCGACAGGCGAGCCCCCACCGCAGCGGGCCCTGGCGTTCCGGCTGCCCCACACGTGTCCGCCGCTCCCCACGCCAGGGATGGCTGCGCCAGCCCCGTCCCACCGTCCGAGCCGGGATGGCGGAGCGGAAGGGAGCGGGGGAGGGCAGTGTGACACCCCCATGCCTCCCGCAGCGCACTCACCTCCCCGCGCTGGCGGCCTCGGAGCCCCGCGGGACGCGGCCATTCCGCGGCTATTCCGCCGTCGCCGCTCCGCCCGCCCCGCGCGGGGCGGCCCCGGGAGCCGCGCTCCGCCCCGCTCCGCCCCGGCGGGGAGCGCGGGGCCAGCCGGGGCTGGTAGTCTCTCCCGCGGCCACGGGCGACGAGGGGCGCGGCCGCATCGAGGCACTACGTTCCCCGGCGTGCAGCGGGACGGGGAATATAAGTGGCTGGCAGCGAGCGCGCCTCTGTCAGTCCGCCCGCCCGAACAATGCCTTCGCCGCCGGGGCCRGGCAGCCGCGGCTGAGCGCGGCGGGAGCCCCGGGCAGCGGACGCGCTTGCCGGCCACCGCCGCTCCCGGCGGAGGGGCTGGCGGGGGAGCGGGCGCTYGCACGCCGCGAGCATGTGGATACCCACGGAGCACGAGAAGTACGGCGTGGGTGAGTGAAAGAAGGCGAGCGGGGCAGCGCGGGGGCGAGGAGCGGCGCTGCCGGCGGGGAGCGCATCCCGGGCAGAGCGGGCTCGCCCCGCGGGGCGCTGCTGCCGCTTCCCCCGGGAACCAAGGCAGCGCCCTGCGCTTGTCAGCGCAGCGACCCGGGGGCCGAGGTCCCGCCAGGGCGCGGGGGAGCGGCCCCGTCCCCGGGGCACAACAAAGGGCTGCCGATGCCCGAGCCGCGGCTCCGGCGTCTCCCCCCGCTGCCAGGGGATGGGGCAGGGGCCGTCTCCGAGGCGGGCGCTCGGTTCTCCCCACCTGCGCTGGGTGAAAGGCTGGCGTTTCACGGGGAACAAAGCAGCCTGAAAACAAACCGCTGGGAGCGGCGACCCGGTGGGACGCGGGGTCCGGCGGCGGCCCGGGAAGGAGCGGGAGCGGAGCCGCGGGCATTGTTCGCGCGTCGGGGGTTTTGTCGCTGCTTCGCTGGAAACAAAGTGTCGCTTGTGGAAGCCTCGCTGCCTTGCTTGTTTGTTCCCCTGTGCCCGGTGCAGGGCTCTGAAGCYCGCGGGTTTGGCTTGCGGAGTGATCGGAGAGACTCGCGTTGATTTTATTTTTCTTGGCGCCGCCTACGCCAACACCCGGTGAGCGCCGGCCGCTCGTCCCGGACAATAGCCCTCTCTGACACGGACATAGCTGAACTGTTGTACGGACCTGCCGGCGTAGTAGGCAGCTCTCCGTGTGTTTACGTCGCGTTTGAACGCGGAGTTGTTCGTGTTGGAGAAAAGCGGGAGGAGCGCGCAGCCCTCCTTTGTGTGTGTGTATGTGTGTGTGTAGCAGCGCTGTGGCGAGCCGAGAGCGCGGGGCCGCTCCGTCCCATCTGGAGTTGAGCCCAGATGTTGCTGTCTTCCGAATGCTAAATTACCGAGATCATCGGTGGGATTTTTTTTTTTTTCCTTGACTTCTTTATTTGTCAGGTCACAGCTGGGTTGCAAGATATTGATTAGTCCTGCCGCCCGCCTTTCTTTATGAGGATGGGCAAGAGGCTTAAAAACCACTCTGGGACTCCCTGGAATGGCATGCTGGATATTAGTAGTCAAGTATTTCAAGCTGCAGCCCTCCTCTCCGTCTGTTTATTGTTTATTTTTATTTTTGAGCCTAGCATGCTATTTCACAGCTGAAGCATTTCYCCCCACCCCATATATGAGCTAAAAATCATTATGGAGCATCTTTCTTGTACTGAAAACAAGCAGCTAAACACTGTTCCCCCTATTTGAATAACTATCCCATCGWTTCTAAACAATTAAGGGATATCCCTTAAGTAAGCATTTTTACGTTTAGTAGCCCTTTTCAGGTATTCACAGGTGAATTGCTCTTCAGCTCTGCCTTGCTTACCAGGGCTGATGTCGCTGCAATCTTACTCCTGCTAAAGCGATACAATTGCAATTTCTCAATAGGTAGCTTCCTTTGGATCAACCAAAAAATGTAGTCCCCTACAAAGATTGTCTTTATTTGTGTGAAAATAATACAGTCATCAAAAAGATGCTTATTCTTATTTAAATTAATTTCCTGGTTTTCTGTGATTCGGCTTCTAAAGACTATTCAAGATAGTAACAAAAAGCTACTGTTCAAATTGGTTTTTCTGTACCCCTAGGATGGGAATGATATTATAGTTCAATATGGCTATTGCAAAACGTTGAAATACTAACTTAGAGTAAGTTAATTTTTCTCTTGAACTGATTTTTATGCTGTGTGTTCACTCACCTGCATGATGAGTGCTGTCTGCAAAATCTTCACACCCAATTACCCTGTAAGCTATTGTACTCTATAGCCGTGGGAGGGGAGGCAGGAGAAAGGGTTGTATCTTGCTGTAGAATTATTTGAACTTCTTGTAAAGTGAATTTCATAAATTAAACTTGCATTTTGAACCACAGACCAGCTTATGTATTTTCTATTGATGGGATTATTCAGTTTCCAAACAGCTCTTTTAAATACTTGTGTGTTTATCTGCTCTGGTAAAAKGGGTGCATTAGAAAACCCCTTTGAGAATCCCGATTAGTTGTACTAAGCATATGTATCCTTTATACAAAAAGCTTAGGGCTTGCATCAACATCAGACCTCATCTACATTTTCAGTCTGAATTTTGCAGCGCATGCTGTGTGCTGTGCATTTCTACTGTGATGCCAAAATGGATGAATAACCAGACAACAGCCACCTGGTTGCACTGAAGGGTTGCTGSTAACCAGGTGGCTATTGCTCACTTGCACAGCCTGACTGACTCCCAYTTTGAGGGGTAGGTAATACGAGTCACAGTATTCTACAAAATTTTTAACTTCTGCCTGCTAGCTATTGGTTAAATCTGGTTAAGCATGTTGCTTAACTCTAAGTTCATTACTAGTAGGCAGACACACTGCTAGTTCATTTCATGGTAGACATTAATGCTGCCATAAGAAAAATGCTGCTACACTTTTATGCRCCACCTTTTGTACTACAGTTAGGTGTTTTTATTTCCAAGGCTATAGATTTTGTCAGTTATGTTGTATTATCACTCAGGATGCTAAAAGTGAAATAAACACTGAAATATTTCTGATATTGAGAACTCGCTTTGTCTGGGTTTTGACAGCTTTATTTTCAGAAGAGAAGGTTAAACTTGTATATTTTCACTTTGAAATTCCTATGTTTTGAATTACACCTTCAGCAGTTGTGTCAAATGAGTGTTGCCATTGTACAAAGGRTCCAGTGGGCAGTTATGTGGACTATTTGGTGCAAAGGATGCTGATGAAAGGCTAGGAGAAGTAAGATTATTTTTTGCTGTTAATATTGTTTAAATCTGGGAGATGCCAAATAGAGTTGACTTTCCTAAATACTGCATGCTGATCGATGTGAATTCAGAACTCAAGAAAATCACAGATTCTTTTAGGTTTGAAAAGACTTCCAAGATCATAGAGGCCAACGCTGACCAATATTGCTTAGAAAGATATCCAAATCCTTTGTTAAAATGAGTCATTTAAGACTGTAAATTTGAATGCTTTGCAGGCAGCAGATCACTAAGTGTAGCTTTCAAAAGTGACTCTTACTGATTGGTGCATACTGGAAACTTTTAGCTGTAACAAATAAATCACGGGACTGCATAAATATCTTGTAGCTGCCTTTTGGAGTAAAGTTGTGTTTCATTCTCTATGATTAAGGCTGTTTTCCTTTTTGTCTCTACATATTGCTGTATCATCTGTATCTTTGATTCATCTGAATCTGTAAGGGTGCAGTTAAGTTCTCTGTAAAGTAGGTGATTTACCCTTTTTAACTGAGCACAAAGCTCAACATTTCTTTGGAGGGCATTTTTTTGGATTAGGTGGAAAGATTAATAAGTAGAATAACTAAAACCAGTGCTCAACTTGTCATCTAGTTTATAAATAGAGTGGAATTGCAGATGCTGAAGTCGTTCTGTACAGCAGAATTAYACCAGTTTAACTCCACCAAGTTTAAATAGCGATTGATATTTTAAGTGTGGTTAAGCCTTTCTGAAGGGGGCATGAAGTTTTGGCATCTCCTAGTTTATAGATGGAGAAATGCAAGGTTCAAGTGACTTTGTGCTGTAAACTAAAGTTCATAGGAGGAAAAGACAGGGGTATATTAGGTGATCACAGGAGCAGTATTGACTTGCACATAGACAAAAGCCTAATCAATTGGCTTGTGTTSTGTTCTGAGTTGCAGCCAAACTAGTCTTGCTAGCAGTCCTGTTGAAAGATAGCAAAGATATCCTTATCTCCATGCTGCTATCCCTTTTTGGACTGCATGCTAACTTTACTGTAAATGGATTTGGTTTGTTCAGCTCAACAGTATCTCTGTCAATAACATGCAAGACTTCTAGTATTAAGTGTTTGTTTAACATAAACACTTCATTAGCCTTTCCTGTGTGCCTCTTCAAACAATGCAAATAAAGCCTTCAATCAAGCTGTATTTCCTTCATTCCTCTACATTAATTGTGCCTCACATTTCTATGTAGAAATCACTTTGTTATTTTTGTCTTAGACTAATATTGTCACTAATAATGAGCTATATCCAAAACTCCTATCAAGATGTCTAAATAACTGTTTAGAGGTGAGGCAKGAATGAGGTTGACAGGATACCAATGTTCCCTTTGCCTCGCTGGGACTGTGGGAACCCATTCTCGTTTTATGTAATACTGTCTGAGTTCTAGTTATCTGAGATAGCAAAGACCCACACATTTTCTATAGGAACATTTCTGACACATGACATATTTATCATGGAGGCTTTTATATCAATTTAGTGTGTCAGTCAAATAAAGGTGGTATTTTTTCTAGTCTTTTATATAAGCACTAACTTTCCATGTCTTTTAAAAATTGAATTACCTCAACTTGCAGGTTTTGGTTAAAAAAATCACTGACAATATTGGGTTGGAGAACAGAATATGAATATTGGTCATAAGACTAGTCTTAAGTTAAAACAAGTTTTGATAAAGTGGTGAAAGTTTCTTGAAATAAGACTAAATCAAGATTTTAAAATGGTTTTTAAACAGCTGCTTCCAAGTATCTGTAGTCTTCAGGATTGAGGTGTGATGTTTTGAATGTCTTCACCGTCTCCTAAGGACAGGTTGGACCTGGCTGGCTCCTTAATATGTTACGTAGTGCACTTCAGAGATTTAATTTTTCCTATTCACCTACATGTATGGAGCTACTGGGGAAGATTTCTGAAGACTGATGTTATTTCATGGTTAGCTGTTGAGACTGTGTTTTTCTTCCTCTTTTGCTGTGTAGAGGCTTTTTTACCACCATTTTCAGTGTTRGACTTGTGAGGCTGCTAGCTAGGCTTGATTATCCAAAAGGTGATAGAACAATGGTCAATCAAATGACATAAGCCATGTAAGTGAGAATGTGTTCTCCCTGTGGAAAGGAGAGCACTTTTGCTTTGTTATCTAACATAGGCTAATGTAAGTCGTGATTTCTCCTTCTAGCTCAGGCAGCATGTGATGCAGTCACTAACTTCTCTGTC